AAACCCTCTTTTCTCTTCAGAGAAACGACACAACTCTCTGTCTCTCTCTCTCTCTCCCTCTCGCTCGAGTCCACACACAACTCTCGATTTTCAACACATTTTATTTTTTATTTTTGTTTACGAAAATTAAATACGACTGCCGAAAATAAAATTAAAAGGTAAAAAAAAAAGAAAAAAAGAAAGCGTCTCTTTCTTTTCTTCTCTTCCTTACTCTTTCTCTCGCTTCTTCGTTATCTATTGTTTTATTTTTCCCCATTTTCTTATTATATTTTTGTCTTTTTCTTATTTTTAGTTTTAATTTTTTGCCTGAATTTTTTTGTTTCCTTTTTCCCGATTAAGGAAACCGTATTGAATGGATTAAAGAAGAGATTTGTGCTTAAGAGTTAGTTTAGCTGCTTGTTTTTTTTTTTCTGTTCTATAAAAGAGAAAGTTTCTTTCCTTTTGATTCCTTTTTTGTTATTTGAGTTGAATTTTTCTTGATATTACATGCTTTCGATAGATTTTATGATTTGGAATAATGGGCTGGTTTTAGATTCTAATAAAGCTTCAATATCTGTGCTGTTTCAAGGATATGGAAGTTTAGTATTACGAGAAATGGCAGTTTGACACTTGTTGGCTGTTGATTAGTTTCTGGCTCCAAGATTGTTTTTTTTTTCTTTTTAGTTTTTGGATCTGAGTTTTTGTGAAAGATAAAACGACAGAATATAGTTTCAGATTTTTCTTAATTATCTGCATAAATTGGATGGCTTTGCAGGACAGTTGGTTTTCTTATGTGTATGATGGTATATTTTGCACCACTTGTTGGAGAATCTTGAATTTCGAGATTTCACATGAAAGTTTTAATGCTTATTGGTTCCCATATTTACTAAGCCGTTACTTTCTCATTTTGTCTTTTAGATTTTTACGTTTTGAAGTTGTGATAAATGGTATGATTTTATTGCTAGTTAGATATTTATGGTTTAATGGAATTGGGATTCAAAAAGTGTGTCCATAATTGGAAATATATCGAGAATGTTATGCATGATTAACTTAGACTTTACTTGGTTTGGTGAACATTTATCAGATCTTAAGTTAAAGGAAAAAAAAGGTTATAAAAAAAAAAGTGAATGACATAATCGTCTCATCTACTTCAGTTGGATGGATTTTTAGGGCAATCTTGATTTGAGGTCATCTGTGTTTGCTGCTGTTCATAAAGAGGCATGGGATCTCATCTGAATTACAAGAACTTTGGTGAAGCTCCAAGTATGGAAGGAAACGGGTCAAAGCCACTGGGGAATTTCCCATTGGCTAGGCAGCCATCTATATACTCATTGACCTTCGATGAGCTGCAGAACACCTTTGGTGGACTTGGGAAGGACTTCGGGTCAATGAACATGGATGAACTCTTGAAAAATATATCAACTGCTGAAGAGACTCAGGCTGTGACGACAGCTTCAGTTGCTGGAGGAGAAGGAAGTGTTTCTGGTGGGAATTTGCAGAGGCAAGGATCATTGACATTGCCGAGGACTCTGAGTCAGAAAACGGTTGATGAAGTATGGAAAGACTTGATGAAAGAAAATGATGGTGCTAAAGATGGAAGTAATGGCGGTGGTGTTGGTGGAGGAGCAAATTTACCACAGAGTCAACAGAC